GGACCTTCCTCTCTCAGGAGCATGTACTATAATCAGCAGAGTCTGCTGAACATCTGTGAGGAACACTGAAACACAGACAATATGGAGAAATACAGCTTTATATTCACTCATACATCACTTGTGTTGTTGCTTCATGTTCTGTGGATCAGAACTGTTCCAAGTCAACAAACAACATTTTATTCACTAAGAGACAAACAAACATCTGTTCATCATCAACAATACAACAAAAATGTCAATGAAATGATCTGAGTATTTAAACATGTCTCGGTAAATTTGAGAGGTTATGTTACTGAGACAAACACTGAAATTGTTTAATTAATAAAATTGAACAAAACTTACAATTATTTATATGAATTTAAATGATTTGTGGATTAAATATTAAAGGGGACTTAATATGCAAAATTAACTATTTTCAGGTTGTTGTTTTTTTACTTAAATTTGGGTTTGTACTGCTTCCAAAAACAGAGGTATTTTTATTATAAGTAAATGCATTTTTTTGTGTGTGTGTCTTGAAATGAACACCAACGGTTTGTGACATCACAAACCGTACACCAACCCACACCAACCTGAGCCCACATTAGGGAACCTTTTTGCTGCTAACAAATAACTTTGAGCCACGGTCAGAAAAAAGACTTAGAGGGTTTTTATATTTTTGGCTTGAAAGAAGGAGGAAACAAACAGTAGATTGAGTTGTTTTTTTTCCCTAAGGGACACGTTTTCTCCTCACGAGGCGGCACATATCAAATCAGATRGTCATTTAAGAAAAAATGTGGCATATACCTTTTATCATTATATAAGTGACTGAATGCAACATGACACCAATTTTTCAGATTTTATTAAGCACACCACATTTCCAAAGCAGCCAATCAAAAACGTTTCTCAGAAAAAACTTGAGGAAAGCGAGCGGGAGTCGGGAGGAGAGAGGTTTGGAGAGACAAGAGGACCAAGCATAGTGGACATTTTGGATACCGGATTTAGCCAGCACTGTTTTTGGTTTGCTTGTATAAGTGTGTTAGAGTGCATGAGTTTGTGTGCAGTGTGTTTACTAGTTTTGTTATGGCTGAGTTATACTCGCGCTTTGGTCCGCAAGGCTCGAGCGCGCGGAGTGCGCGMGCACTGAGCTGTGTGACTTCTGCATTTATAGTGTCGCCACTGTGTTTATAGTTGACACACGGTGGCGCACAGCAAAGTGCTGTTCTTTTACGGACCAGCACGTGGCAGTACGCTCTAAAACCTGTGCATAGGTTGTAAGAAACGGGTGTAGAAGAAGAAAAACGGGTGTAGAAGAAGAAATGTATGACGTCACACAACTTTATTTTGTTTTTATTTTATTCATTAATGTACTTATTTTAATTTCAAAGTTGTTTTTTTGTTTGCTAACTAAGTGTGAAGCTATCTGCCACGTTTGCCCTCGCTGCCTCCTGTTTTGGCCATGTATCTTTAGTTTTTAAGTCTATTTTGGAGTTTATGATGTTAAATAAAATGAAACTACATTGAAATACTGTATTCACAGCAACTTTCCTTCTCAGTTTAGTTTGCATACGGCCTTATTCTCAAAGTCATCAACAGTTTCACTCTATAAAATTAGGTATGAAACAGACTTTTATAAGTTTAAGAAGATTCAATGTTACATATATAT